TGCTCAGAGAAAGTTCTACAGCTGTGATTTAAAGATGTGTGCAGCAGCGTTTTTCCTTTGTTTTCTAACAAGTCCTAAAGAAAACACTTTTGAAAAACCAATACTGTAAACTTTTTAATTAGCTTTATTTTTATGTCAGTGTCACAACAAATGTGTTTTTGGATCATTTAAATTAGCATAATATGAACTGTGTTTTTTAGGATTTTGTTTAAAAGTTACTTTGTAAAGATAGTTTGAAGCAGATAAAGGATAATCGTCATGTATCTGATCTCTGCAGGACCACTGTATCCGGTATTACACCAAAGAGAGCTGTTGATGCAACTGGATCAAAGGGCACCTGAAGTGCCCCTGATAACGTTTCAAAATATTAAACCAATAGTTACACAGAGATGGGCACGATCAAATCATATGAATCTACGATGCAGGAGCAGGGTTAATATCAGGATATATTTGAGAAAGTCTGAGTTTTGCCCAGTTGGAGTATCACTGAATATAAAAGAACAAAGACGCAATATCTTTTTATGTCATTCATGTCACAGGAAGCATGACAGGAAATACCAGTGGCTTGTTGTCCTGCCCCAGTTACCTTGAATAACTGTTGTAAAAACATTTGCTTTCATCACTGAATGTCATCACACTTGTTCTGACTTTGATTGTTAATCCTCATAATAATCAGTACCAAACAGTGAGTGTTTTCCCTTCACAGCTAAAAATGGATGAGGCCTGCTCCTCCCTCCTCCGTCCTGTGTGTCAAACATCAAATGCTTCTCATTTGAACGCAGAGCGAGATACTCCTGAACGGCACAGACGCTTTGCCTTTGATGTGCTCGCAAGCCACTGATTAAAGTTTTTATGTTTCTTATGTTGTCTAGACTCTTGTTTCAGAGAGACACACGCACTATAGTTAAGTATTTTAGATTTAAAGAGCATCTCTGACATTGACAGTCTATAAAATCCATCGTGTCGTTCAGGTTTTCATCCGTGTTGACTCTCATAAAGAACCTCGTTGTATTAACAAATAACATCACTGCACTCAGTATTGTGTGCAGCATTCATTCTCGGGATCTGTTAAATTTCTGTCAGGTGCTTGTTGAATGCAGAATATATGAAAGAAAGAGAATGAAACATTTGGTCAATATTTACAACTAAACATTAACACAGTAAATTTATAGATTTAAATGGCTAAAAAAATCAGCGTCAAAAACAGCCAGTGTGTGCATATTTATATACAGCTTTATTTGTATGTCCATGCGTATCTGTTGTGTATGTATAGCTGCAGCAGATGGCTATTTAAGCTATAATGACACTGTCAGGACTGAAAGGGCCATCTCAACCATACTATTGGGCCTCGCGTCTCTTTTTAATTAAATGGGAGAAAAATGGCCAGATCTCCTTTTAGGGAGAAAACAGCCTCCACTGTGTGACAGACAGTTGGGGAACGGCTCGGTAAATCAATAGGCCAGGGAACAGAGTTAAGCGAATGCAGTCACCTTTTTTTTTTTTCACTGGACCCTGAGGGCTATTCAAGGGGAATTTTTCCATAGTGGCAGACAGCATCCTCACAGAGCAATATGTCCATGTTCACACTGTGGCCAAAGGGGGCAGTACAGTACTTCCTTATGTATCTCTTCCTATCAGTACCTTAAATATGTTTTTGTACAAGTGTGTCTATATCATGCTGAATCTGTTGCATACATTTGCAATGTATGAATATAAGTGCCAATACTGTAGGCGACAAACTGGCTGTGCTTTAGTTTGACTCCATCAGCCCACATTTCAAGCAACCCTATCAGCTAATTCAAGCCTTTCAGCATCTAGACAACATGACCCTTCTCCTCCACATATGGGAATACATAACTCTCCACCAATGTAATCAACCCAGGCCTTTTAAAAGAGCCTTCCCAATTAAAAGTGTGCCAGTTAATCCATTCTGATCCTGTTGAAGAGCACTGGGCTGTTCTCACTGCCCTGCGGTCAGCCTAGCAAGCTGAGCTGATTGATTCTGCACCAATCTTCTCCACAAGACTGCGGCCCAGGATGTAATGACCCACAGCTAAAGCTTGGATTAGGCCCGGGCCAGGAAAGAACGTGGTTGGACCAACCGCCAACAGTGACCTTCTGGACTCAGCCTGTTTGTGAGTCAGGTTGAATTACATGGCCTGGTATGAGAAATGTGTTGTGACTAATTAAGGGTCTGTCGTCATTGCCAATCCAGTCGCTTCTGTGGCGACACATTTCATCAGAGTCCTTGCTCTTCAGCCACATGGTTAATCAGGTACATGCAGGAACACACTGGATATGAATTACTCATATGCAAATTTTACATCTTCACTATTTGAACTGGCACCGTGTGGTTTGTGTTGACTTTGTGTGCTCCTCCCATCAAACAAGCATGGACATATGCATGCTTTCCTTCAGTAACCCAGTGTTTCTTATACACTTATTTATCTAATCTTATTTTATTGTAGAGATACCTGTAACACTTGTTCAACCCCTCCTTGCCTCACTCTTTCTCTCTGTCTTTGATTATTGAGATAAGAGGTAACTAGCCACTCTATGGTCCCTCCCCCTCGCCTGCTGCCGCTGACCCAGGAGGAGAGGGTGCAGCAGCTCAGGAGACGAACCTTTGGCTAGGGGCTGTAGTGGCTCAGTTTCAGCCAGTGCAGGTCTAACCTGTGTAACAGCAGCAACAGAAAGTTTGCTGATCCAGAGCTGTCCGATTCCCCGGAGCTGGGATTTGTGCTGGCTGGATTCAGACTGCTGCTGCCACTGACTGGAGATCTGTCTCCAGAGCTGCTGCCCACTCTCCTCTCAGTGAGGTGGTTCGTAGCTGCAGGCTGTGAGGCGGAAGACGCACTGTGATTCGAGATTCTCACCAACATTAGCTATGTAAACATGAACCTGAAGCTGCAGCTGTGAGCCATTAGCTCCAGTTAGTGGAAGGCTAACCTATTAGCAACATTTTCTCTCCATTTTTGAAATGCTTCACTGATACTGACACGTGTTGGCTCTCTTTTTAATAAGTCTGCCTCCCTTTTATGGGTTGCTTTGCAGTGTAGGCAGTTGTTGCCAGTTCTGGAATAGAAACTATGCAGGATTGTCCGTCATTGAATCAGGCTTTCACCATCTGAATGGATGTGCAAGCGAAACAGCCATTAGGAATGCCCTCTCTCTGAAATGACCTGTGTCCAGTCACTCAAGCATGCCACAGATGTTAAAAATATGCTAAAACAAAAACTGTCTGTTTGTAACTGTTTAGCTTAGTTATGTAGGCCTATCTTAAAACGTACCAGCGGTACCTGCAGACAGTGGATCACATCAGCAGCACATGGAGGAGGACAGAACTGATACTGACTGATGTCTGTGTTCTTCATTTGTTACTTACTTACTTGCATTATTGACTTTATATAGTGACTTTCCTGTTGTAAACAAGACTGTTGCTGCCATAGACTGTTTTCCATCATGGCATGAGGTGAGGTTGTGTGTGTGGGACAGAGAGGAGAAAGGGAGATATTGCTAGAGAAAGATAGAGTGTCTTACTGCTCCTTGTTTTGCTTTTGTGCATTGATGGCTCTTTTTATTCTGTTTTGGCAATTTGAGATGTGCCTGGGTCTGATATGTGACCAAATATATATAATGTTTTTTATTTTAATTGTGAAATGATAAACATTGCTTTTCTTTTTACTGAATTATTTGCATTTGTTAAAAATTTGTCATTACAAAAAGCTTAAAAAAAGTGTTCAATAGGCTGCTCGCTGCTGGAGATGTCTGGCCCATTGACATTTCCTGGTTTTAAAATCTGGCCCCATTGAATTTGTAATGGAATAGCCCTGACATACAGGATATATAATATGACAACTGAACTTCCCACACTCTATTGTGCTCTGCACAGCCACGTCTATACTGCACTGTAGTGCCGCGGTGCACAGTTGGGTTCTAGAAACAGCTTACGCGCCCTGACCTACAAACCATATTAGCAGAGTGTGTGAGGACATACAGTATGAAGTGTTGAGGGCTAACACACACACACACACACACACACACACACACACACACTGCTCTCTGCTCTGGACATACCACTCAGCAGGATCTTGACAATTAAGCTAACCACCAACTGGCTCCATGCCTCCGGGAGCCACCGCTGCCATCACACACACACACACACACACACACACCCCAACACACACAGCTGAGCAGGTTTCATTAGCATATACAGGTGAAAGGTGAGGCAATCAGTGCCATCTCTACTGTTATTCTGGCTGGCGCTAATGACGGGTGTGGCAAAATGTGACACTCATGAGAAATACACTGCTGTTCTAACTGGGACTCTGGGCCACAATGAAGATGGATAGGCCCCAGAGAGTACAGCAGCAATAATACAGTGGCTCCAAAGTTTAATACAAGGTGGGGAAAAGGTGATTCAAATACTGCTGCACTTCTGCTGTTTACCATTTACACTAAAGTGATAACAAATACATTTGTCAGCTCAGAACTGTAAATAAATTCATTAAAATTTAATATAACTGGCTTTATTAACAGTGGCCATATGAGTTTTGGTTATGAGGTCAGGAAGATCACAGTGATAACAAGAACTACAGGAAATGATCCATTTAAAAAAAATGTAGTTAGTGATTGGCTGAACCACAGTCTGTCTGCATGATGCCTCCGCTGGTGTCAGAGATGCTGGTTACCTCTGCCTCAAGGTGTTGGTCATGTGAGGGCAAACAGCTCATCAAGATGAGTGACAGGTGCTGGAGGTGTGAACTTGGTTTGAAATCGTAGCCTAAAGGCCAGTGTCATGATCCAGTATCATCAAATCCTCATTAGGGTCATGTGCTTTTATCCAGGCTACATGGAGATCATTGGTCCACGTTTCTGAGAGGGCTGATGGACATTGTGTTTGAGGTGAGTGTTAGTGGGGACCAGCTTGCTAAGACAGATAGGCTAAACCGAGATTTCTTTGTGTGTGTATGTGTGTGTGTGTCTGTGTGCATTCCTACCTTCAAGCCTGACCACCAGCGGCACCTTGAGCTCCAGCTCCCGACAGGCCTTGGTGATGCCGTTGGCGATGATGGCACAGTTGACGATCCCACCAAAGATGTTGACCAGGATGGCCTCAACCTGTGAAAGAAGAGAATGAATGAAGAATTAAATCTAGTGGTGCATTTTTCCCACAGACCGCCATCATTACATAAACATCTGTAAAACTGTTGACAGGATACCTCTAAGTGCAAACAAGGTTAATTATGACTCTTTCTATTGAGAATTTTTGAATTATATAGGGTTTTTTTTTATTTATAAAACTTTCCTCAAGTTGAGAAAACATATTTAAAACTCTGTGATGTCATCACAATGTAAAATCTATAAGCCCAGTGGGAACTCCTACACTACTGCACATATTTGGTGGGCTGCATACGTAAAGTGGGACCCTAGAAACTTTTTTGGCTTATGCGCCAGGCGAGCAACTCCATTGGAATGAATAGGCGCCATCCTGGGGTCTCTGTGTCTACTTATTATAATACATGTATGGAGCAGACACACCTGTGAACAACAGGAAAGTAGCATCATGCAAAAGATGTACATCTGTAGTGTCCAACATATCACGGCTCTGGCTGTGACTTACTCCATCTCCACTCCAGTCTTCAATTATCTCATCACCACGCAGTATAATAATCCAAGGGCATCATTTACTCATCTGCAGATTGTTTCGCCAGATTCAGTGCTATCAGCTTCTCAGCCGCTCAGTGTCTTTGTACTAGAGTTTTTTCCTGATGTGTTTTTTGAGCTGATTATTGATGATTATTTCCTATGCCTAGGATCTCCAGCGTCTGCTTCCATGCCGACTCGCCACCGCCACCTCCATCTGCACCACAACTGCCGACCAGCCAGCCCTTCCACTCATCTGCCAGCTTTCCACAGCCCCAGCCGGTCCCAGTTCCTCGCCTGCCTCTGCCATCTCCAGCTTCCCACATTTTCCCACCTACCCTTCCAAATACATCCCCCATCATCATCCACCCATCTGTTTTGTGTCTGCTTTTGGGTCCTAAGAACACCAAGCCTTAACACAACATTTATTATGATGGGTTAACAAAGGAATTGGTCCAAAATTAAGCACAAACCAAGGACAAATCCTCTGCACAGTTCTTAAAGTGACACTCATATATGGTCAGCGCAGCTGGAAAAACGCTTTTTCACATCAGTGGAAAACTAATTGTTTCAAAATCTACTCGGGAAAACTTTAAGTAGAGAGAGAGAGACCCCACCCCCAACGTTGTGAACAGTAGGTCATGCACCCAGAGGCTCTGCACCCCAAGGCTATACAACACTGTCACACTGGAGGCAGAATAAAGTAATGTATTGTAGAAGTTAAGAGGGCAGCAGCAGGTAAAAGAGGCAACACTGGGGCTGAACAATAAAGCAATATTTCAATGGGAAGTGGTGACATGACAAACAAAAGAAGCTAAACACCTGGCTAGTTTTCAAACCATCTAATGTGGCTGAGCAACGCATCACATTCAGCTCTTCAAACTGTGTGGTAAAAAAATGTGACTGGCTAGTTAAAGAATAAAACATAATCAAGTACACACGCAGCAGTCAGCAGATCCAGTAGTCAGTGCCCATCCTGCTTGTGACTCCATTCAAATTCAGTAGCTGTCATCCACAAATGTTAAGATGTCCTTTCCTCTCACGGTTCCACATTTCCCTGACAGCTATCAGAAACAAACCTTTGAGTTTTGAACACGCAAAGTTGTGCAAAACAATCTCCCTGTCTGTACTATGTTCACTTAAGCTGTCTTGCAGTTTCTTTGCAACTTTCTTACAAAATAAGCATGAAACTGATATCACTAAGTAGTGAAGCAAGGCAGCTTGTGTGTGTGTGTGTGTGTGTGTGTGTGTGTGTGTGCGTGTGTGTGTTTGTGTGTGTGTGTGTGCGCGCGATTACACTAACAATCTAGCACTTGGTAATTACCCTGGCTAGCTCAGTGGAAAAGTAGACTGAGAGCACACAGGATTAATCCTCCATGTTTGTTTATAATCACTGCTAATCTGTTAGCGCCGATTTGGATGAGCAGCTTGTGGGTGCGTGTGTGAGGGTGTGTGTGTGTGTGTGTGTGTGCCTGTTGTGAATGTGTATGTTTTTAGTGTGGGGTAATGATGTTTATAGGGAGAGGAGATCAAGGACTTGGATAGCTATCAGAGCGACAGCCACAGCATTGTCCTCTACGTGCTATCCAAATGAGCATCTCCTTATAAACAGCGGAGAATGACACGAGACCAGGAGAGGACTCCAAAACAAACGGAGATGTGGGGAGCGGCATAAAGACTCAGGCGTCATCCAAAGAAATGGGGCAAGCTGTTAGGTCAACACAGAGAACTGTTTCATGCTGATTAAGTGTATTGCGCAGGGATGTGACCAGTAAAAAAACAAGGAGGAAAAGCAGGAAAACATTAGCGCCAAACTGCAAATGAGTAGACTCAGATGTTCAAATTGAAAAAAAAAAAAAATCATAACCTCCAGATTGCTCATATTATAATACGTGATGAGCAATAATAACATATTTAAAGAAAAAAAACAGGTAGAGGAAGAGAACCACAGTCCATTTCTCATATAGCAGACACATCAGATTGTATTTTTCCTCATGTACGATGGCCACTTATGGTAGGGTGTTTTAAAGTTATTATCCTTTTTTTTTTTTTTTTTTAGCTTTTGTTGAAATCAATTTAAACTCTGCGAGAGTCATTTCATAAGTGAGTTAACATCGTCACTATGGTTACTTGCTCTTAGATATATTTAGGGTCATAACTAAAACCCTGGAACACAATGAAGTGAGCTATTATTATATTGTTTTGATAATATGAGTCATTATTTGGGTGATGCAATCTCTTTTGCAAAAAAAGAGTACATTCTGTATTAGTGCATAACTGTGTCTAGCGTATTTTAGCCCTGTTTATGTGGCCTTCGGGTGATTTAACATTACACTTTCACCAAGATGGGGAAATAACAAGAGATGGATTGATAAACAATGGTCAAATTAAATGCGGCAGAGGCTGAGATATATATGATATATATTATCAAATTGCGCTGTGGCCAAGTGCAACATCCAAATTGCAGGAGCTGCATTTTTTTTGATAGGTAAGAATTTTAAGGTAAAATGTGTCCAAAAAACTACCATTATAAATTAAGCATTGTGGTGCTACAGATATACCTCGGCCTACAAATAATAGGTGCTGGAATTTCTAACTTCGATGCAGTACCTTGAAAAATATTGATATTCGATACCATTTTCAATACCACAGGAAAAAACATTGACATTGACAACTTCTTTCCGCCAACTTGCTGAAGGAGAGAAGAGAGAGCCAGAAAGCAGTATTGCTAGTGTTGATATTTCAGAAATAAGTATTGAAACCCTTTTAAATATTCAGAATCAACATACACTCACAAAGCACTTTATTAGGCACACCTGTTCAATGCAAATAGCTAATCAGTCAATTATGTGGTAGCAACTCAATGTATTTAGGCATGTAGACATGGTCAAGATGAACGTGGCGTGGTTGTTGGTGCCAGATTGGCTGGTCTGAGTATTTCAGGAACTGATGATCTACTGGGATTTTCACACACACACAACCATCTCTAGGGTTTACAGAGGATGGTCTGAAGAAGAGGAAATAGCGGCAGTTCTCTGGGTGAAAATGCCTTGTTGATGCCAGAGGTCAGGGGTGAATGGCCAGACTGGTTCAAGATGATAGGAAGGCAACAGTAACTCAAAATAACCTCTCGTTACAACCAAGGTCTGCAGAAGACTCTCTGAACCAACAACACGTCAAACCTTGAAGCAGATGGGCTACAGCAGCAGAAGACCACACCGGGTGCCACTCCTGTCAGCTAACAACAGGAAACTGAGGCTACAGTTCACACAGGCTCACCAAAATGCCTGGTCTGATGAGTCTGGATTTTTGCTGCCACATTCAGATGGTAGGGTCAGAATTTGAAAGCATGGATTCATCCAGCCTTGTATCAACGGTTCAGGCTGCTGGTGTTGGTGTAATGGTGTGGGGGATATTTTCTAGGCACACTTTGGGCCCCTTAGTACCAACTGAGCATGGTTTAAACACCACAGCCTACCTGAGTATTGTTGCTGACCGTGTCCATCCCTTTATGACCACAGTGTACCCATCTTCTGATGGCTACTTCCAGCAGGATAACGCACCACGTCACAAAGCTCAGATCATCTCACACTAGTGTCTTGAACATGACAATGAGTTCACTGTACTCCAATGGCCTCCACAGTCACCAGATCTCAATCCAACAGAGCACCTGTGGGATGTGATGGAACGAGAGATTCACATCATGGATGTTTAGCCGACAAATCTGCAGCAACTGTGTGATGCTATCATGTCAATATGGACCAAAATCTCTGAGGAATGTTTCCAGCACATTGTTGAATCTATGCCACCGAGAATAAAGGCTGGTCTGAAGGCAGAAGATGGTTCCTACCCGGTACTAGCAAGGTGTACATAATAAAGTGGCTGGTGAGTGTATATTGATAAATCAATATTGATATCGATATTATATATTTATCATTGATTTTTTATTTTTTTAGAGAAAACAAAATGCAAAAATTTCAATTTTCACTAACTCATGCCTCATATTGCAGCTGAAATATCTGTCAACGTATCACAATATGTTTTTCTTGTTTGCATATTGTTCAGCCCTATTTTCAGTCCCAAGTATGTGTCAAGCTCAAAAAAAATACTGGATCCTACATTTCCCACAAAACAACAAAATAATGCTCCTTGCCTGGTAAATGCTTCCACCCTTCAAACACTACATCCTGATTTTGTAACATGGGCTCCCTGTTAAAAATTTGAGGTCAATCTTAGAAAACCCGCATAGCATCAAGAGGGTTTTCTTAGCCTTTAGAAAGCTTCAGAACAAGCCACTGATGACATTATGCAACTGTTTCCTCGGGATGTGCAGCACTCCTCGTGACAAGTAAACTCATCTTCATGCGTAAAATTGGTGGAGTGCCCTTTTAATGTACAGTGGCTATCATCTATCATGTGGAAAGGACAAGTCAAGCCTCAAGGTGTCCATATTGTTCATTTCTTTCTCATACCAC